AACCCGGCAGCACCCCATCTGCTCTGCCCCAGGCATCCTGATTCAGCCACTGCTGGTCAGTTTCAGCAGCAGCTGACTTGGGGACGCCTGGGATTCTTAAGTTGAATCTGTATGTAAGTCGGAACTGGCATCCAGATTCAGCCTGTTGAAACTGATCAGAGGCTGATTCCAGGAAGCCTGGAGCAGAGCAACTCTGCCTCGGGCTTCCTGTAGTCAGCCGCTGGTCAGTTTCAGCAGCGGCTGAATCTGGACGCCAGTTCCGACTTACATACAGATTCGACTTAAGAACAAACCTACAGTCCCTATCTTGTATGTAACCCAAGGACTGCCTGTATTACAAACACAGGCATCAATCCTGTAGTTGATGCTATGAATAGAGACCCATGTATACACATACACGCCATGAACTTTAATAGGGCTTAGCATGAAAGCAGATGTTTACCTGTACAGCATTCTATTGAAGTCAGTGGTACTTCATGTGGGTGCAGAAGTGCAACCATATGGAGACAGCAGCAGGACTAGATCTTGGTCCTATAGAGCTCAGATACCTGTAAAGAATTTCGGGTGTTTTCTGTTTCATTAAGACTAGTGTTTTTGGCGTAAACATGACAATTACATGTGTTGGTGTTTTATTATGAAATATTATTAATCACTAGGCAAGCGTTTTGCATCTGGCTCTGCTGATAAAAGTGTAATAATTTGGACTTCAAAGTTAGAAGGAATTCTGAAATACACGTAAGTGAAATATTTCCCTTTACTGCTTCTTTTAAATACATACGTTGGTTATGGATTTCTGCTGTTAATATAAGTAATGCTAGGAGAGCTGAAGGAATGTGAATTAGGGTCAGAGAAGAAACTAATAGAGGAGAAATGAGGGAGGAGAGCAGTTAAGATACTGAAAGACTGTTGAAGATGTAAAAAGTTAACCAGTTACCTGGTAAACATTAGCCTTACTAGTATGCTTACCCAGTAACCGGTTAACCAAAGGGTGGAACCTTGGCTGGCAGGAGCAGTCCCCCCACCCCCGCACCTATCTGGACCCTGGTTAAATGATTAAAACTATATCATTTAACTGGTTAACTTTTTAAAGGGATATTTCCATCCCTAAAGACTATTTGAAAGGGCTAGGAAAACAGTTAAGAGAACGAGGGAACAGTGGGAGGGTTAGATAAAGCATTGGTGTTACTCTAGTGAAGACATTGCAGGGCTGAAGGAGCACTAGAGAATCTCTCTTTTGTGTGTTAGGCAGTTGCATGAGTTCAAGAGGAGTAGAGAAGAGTCATAAAGTTTTGGGAGCTATATTCTGCCTTTGTCTCAACAGGAGTTATTTGTGTAGTGTATGTCCAAGACATAGCACCGGTCTTGTAAAATAAGCCAAATTTAAAATAGTTCTACTTTGAAGCCCAGTTCAAAGGTTGCTGTTGGTACTTGCCACTACTAAGCAGTTCCATCTTTGTCCTGCGTTGTGTGCATATGGAATTCTCTTCATGTTTTTTGTTGGATGAATGAAATACAATTCCACGAAGTTATTAAGAAATATAGATTGCTAGCACCTTACATTTTCAAATACAAATTCTAATTTTGAGTAAGTTTGCACAATTCTTGTTGAAATCAGTGAGAGGTGTACATACATATGGTAGAAAAATGTCTCATAACATACATTTTTCACAGTGCTTCTCAAACCAGTATTCACCTATGCCATCATACAAATACAGCCAGTTCTTGATGAAATCTAATGAAACTTCCATTTAGAGACTGCATAATTTTAAAAAAGTTAATTTTTAACATAATTTAAATGTGCTAATTTGACTTAGTATAGCTTGATCTGGTTTCATGCAGTATTTGTCTAAACTTGGTTTTAAGATCTTTTGTTATAAAATATAGAAAATACAGCATTTAAAACAAAAGATTTGTTTGAAAAGTGATGATTACTTTGTTCTAGGCATAATGATTCTATACAGTGTGTTTCATACAATCCTGTTACTCACCAACTGGCATCCTGCTCCTCCAGTGATTTTGGTACGTCTTCTTCCTCTTTTATGTTTTTCATTGAGCCAGTAAACATTATTAAATATTATTAAGCTTAATAATGTTTGGGTACAGATTTTTTTTTCTTTTCAGTGATGTGTAAATGGAGAAATAATGTTACTCATCTACTATGGAGCACACAGATAAAAATTGAGAAAATGTCTTGTTTAGCATAATTTAATATTTTACTTTAAGGCACTGGAATCCGTAACTTTTCAAACTGAGAATAATTTTTAGTTTGCTATCTTTCGGTGATAAGATGTTTTTTTCAATGGTACTATTTTTTGTTCCACATTAAGAAATATTTCATTATAATTCTTTTTATATATTTACTCCCTAGTGCCCCATCTGTCTCATCTGTCATATATGAATACATATAATCTGTTCAAAAGATGCATTGACTCTTCTCAACCCTGAGTGAAATTCTGGCCCCTTTTATTTCAATCACTATTTTTTTTCTAATCTAAATGCTGATTATAATGATGAAGAACTTGGTTTCTTGTTTTTGTTGTGGTTTATAAGGCTTGTGGTCTCCTGAGCAGAAGTCAGTCTCCAAACATAAATCAAGCAGTAAAATCACCTGCTGTAGGTAAGTTTTTTTTTTTTTAAAACACTATATGTGCCATTTAGATTTTTTCCTTTATGAATAAAAACATGGCAAAGAGAAGAGTATGTATACCTAATGTACAAAGAAGCCATGATTAGGGGCGTGAACTGGGAGTTTATAGACCAGAATACAACAGAACCAAAGGTTTCTATATCATACCATCCTCATCACTGTACTATCTGAACGCCTTCCACAGCGTTTGTCAGATACTTTTTTTTTTTTTCTTTCGTCATATTCTTTCAGCATAGCTTTTTAAAAATTTTATTGTTTTGGACTTGCAGTGATAAGCTGTGTGATCTTAAGTCAGTAAACCTTTCCATTCCTCTCTTTATCCATTGATACAGTAATAATCTCCTGAAGGTGCTGCTGAGACTTATTCATAGTTATAAAAGTACTTTGTGATCCTCAGGCAAAAAATTAGACTTTTTTTCAATGTGTGACGTAACTACATAATAAAGCCAAGCCTGATATTAGATGCTTATAAGTGAACTATCATAAATATAGTAGCCCAATGTCTGAGGGTCTTTAACACTGAAATGCTAGCTGTTCCCTCTGGGTGGCCCATGCTGCATGAGGAGTGCGGGGCCCAAACGGCCTCTTGCTCCCCTGCGGTGGCACGGCTGAGTGGCACAGAAGTCAGCCGGGTGCCACCGGAGAGGAGAAGAGGGGTGCGGCGGTGACATACATGGCCAGGGGGCGGGGCCTGGCCATGTACATCACCACCCCAATCCCCTTCGCCTCCTGCCGTGACGCTCAGCTGACTTCTACTCTGCTCAGCTGGGCCGCCATAGGGGAGCCCAAACGGATGCTTGCTCCCCTGTGGCGGCCCGGCTGAGCAGTGCAGAAGTCAGCCGAGCGCCATGGCGGGAGACGAAGGGCAGCGGGGTGGTAACGTGCAGCGTGACAGCGGCTCCAGGCCTTGGCCCCTGGCCGTGAATGTCACCACCCCACCCCTCTTCGCCTCCTACTGTGGCACTCAGCTGACTTCTGCGCTGCTCATCCAGGTCGCCGCATGGGAGCAAGTGGCGCAAGCAACCGTTTGGGCTCCGAGCCCCCCATGCAGCACAGGGAGTGCGTAGCCCAAACGGCCATTTGGGCTCCGCGGTCCCCCAAGTGAGAGGCAGAAGGGGGAGGAGAAGAGAAAGAGAGAGGCAGGAGGCAGAGGAGAGTTGAGAGAGAGCAGGAGAGACAGAAACTGGGGAGGGGGGGGACTGGGACCGGAGGCTCCGGAGAGAAGACCGAAGTGGAGGAGAGACCTGAAAATCCCATCTTATGATGGGCTAATTGGCTAAAATATAAATAAAAATATAAAAACACTTACATTCCAGTATTCTTTCTTCATCCTCAGAGAGACATTCTAATAAGCTATCATCCCCTGGTTCAGTATCCTGTACTTTTAGTAGTTTCCTCTATGGCAGGGGTGGGCAATAATTTTTTAAGGGGGCCCACTCCAAGATTTTGGTAAGTGGTAAAGAGCTCCACTTTTCTATGAAGGGGTTCTGGGTCAGGGATGGAGGTTGGGTGCAGATAAAGTAGGCCCAAGGTATGGGCCAACCGGGCTACTGCCCAGGGCGCCCCATTGTAGGGGGCACTGCCGGGCGGGGGCAGGGCCGTGCATGCTCCACGCACCCGGGGCGGGGCCGCACATGCGCTGGGCGCCTGGAATTGTGCGCCACGCGCCCAGGGGCAGAGCTGTGCATGTGTTGCACTCACAGGGGCGGCACCGCACTCCTGTGGCCTGGGGTGCACGAATGGCTTGGGCCGGCCCTGGGTGCAGAAGGGAGCTTGGGGTAGGAGCTGGGATGCAGGAGAGGTTATGGGGTCTGAAAGGGAGTTTAAATGAAGGAGGGAGTTGTGATAGAGGGCAGGGGTTTGGGTGTGCAGTGTCTGGGAACGGGTATGGGTGCAAGAGAGGTTTCTGTCCTGGGTGAGAGGAGTAGGTGGCAGGGAGTTGTGACCTGGAGGTCTGTGAGGGAGTTGTGCAGAGGGTTTAGATGGTGACCTGGGGCTGGAGTGCCAGAAGTCAGTGTGTGGCTGGCAGTTGCTCATATAGGCAGCTCCAGGGCAGTAGCCCTGCAGGACCGTGTCCCTGCCTGCCACAGACCCTGGTTGCTCAGAATGGCTGGCTGTTTCCTGTGACTCTTTGTGCCAGGTGCTGGGAGGAGAGGGAGACTTTGTGCACTGCCCCTGCTCCCAGCAAAATCTCTCAGCTTCCACTAGGCAGGTTCTGTGAAGCCTCTTCCTCTCCCCGGTGCTTGGAGCAGAGAGCTTCTTAAAGCATTGTGGGGCTGCTTTGAGGTGGGGGGCTGCTTTATGCCTGGGAGCCCCAGCAGGATGGCTCAGAGCCCCAGCAGGTCGGCTTGGTGGGCTGGATCCAGTGGCATGGTGGGCTGGATCTGGCCTGTGGGCCGTATCTTTCCCATCCCTGTTCTATGACGTGCTTCTTTTTCTTTTTGTTTTGTTAGCTGGACAAATGATGGGCAATACCTTGCTTTGGGGATGTTCAATGGCATTGTCAGCATAAGGAATAAAAATGGCGAAGAGAAAGTCAAAATAGAACGTCCAGGTGGCTCTTTATCTCCAGTATGGTCTATTTGCTGGAATCCATCAAGGTAAACCTCTTACATCCATCCCTTTCGAGCTGAAAAGATAGTCCTTGCTTTATTGATTCCTGACATCACAGCATGACTAGTCCATTATCCTTTTTCCTTTGAGTGGGTTTCTTCTGTGTCCTATTCAGATCCCAGAGACTACTCACTGGTGACCAGTTTTTCATATCTGTAAAAATCTGGAATTACTCCACAGAAGAAATGGAGTTACTTTGGTTGAGGATTAGATCTTTTTTTTTTCTCCCAATCCTACTCTTCTTTCACTTTGCCTTTGTTATAGGAATCCCTCAATGACATTAAAATCTCCACATATGTTGTTTTTGCTTGAAGAAAGCTTTGCCACATCCGTTGCAGCTTATATTCCTCTGACACAGACCCAAAAAGGCTTTCGCAAACTTCGTTGGTGCAGATTTTTCTGTGTTTTCCCTTTCTTTATCTTACTGCTATATGCATTCCAAAATGGAGTGTATTTTAACTAAAAGATGGATAGCTGTCAACTTGTGGTTTAAGATCAAGTGCCCCTTCTCCCTGAGATTTATATCTGTGACAAACTAAGTTTCTTGTGGGGCAAGCTACACCTGTTTCTAGACATTGGCTGCCTCCTACCAGCCTGCTGTTTTTTTTAATTATAGAGTTGCACTATTTTGAAAATACTAATTGTGATGCTGGCTGCATTTCTTTAGTGGCTATATACAGCAATTATTTTATTGTCTCTTTCTGTAAGTTGAAAAACAGTGCAAAAATCAACTTGAACATCAGGAAAGATTGTGGGTTTTTTGTTTGTGTATTTTTTATGCAGTGAAATTTATCTTAGAGTAATTTTGAAATGACAGTTTCACTGTAGTTAAAGGGAATGTGAACAAGCAATTAATATTACAGTAGGTGGGAGAATTTCTGGAATCATAGAGCAATTGAGGAAGAGGAGGAATCAGTCCACCACTGTTTAGAGGAAATACCAGCTTTGAAGTCCAGCACATGCAGTAGTCAGGGTAGTGAGACAGAGGAAGAAGAACATGAGGAAGACGAGAGCCCTAGGGACACGAGCTCGTGAGTGAAACTTCAAGGGAATAAAATTTACTGTTCTACAGACAATGTAGATATCTACATATATGTCCCAATGTATATATGTAATTGTTTGTTCCTCTTCTTCGCTTTCTGTTAATGAACTTCAGTCCAGTCCTTACCTGAAAGAAACGCATCTTGAAAAGAGAAGATATCTGTCTGTCTTTAGGGCCCATAGATTCTGTTGAGGCTACCAGTTGCAACAGTAGTAATACTAAGCAGGATCTTTGCGTAGAATGTAATAAATTGGTTTCTTTATTTTCTAGTATCAGGCTTGTACAGCAATAGTCTTCAGATAGTTGAACACATTTTATAGATTATAAAAACTCAGTATGTGTAACTAACAAAACAATCAAAACCCATTGGCTAAATTTATTGATGATGTGCATGTGTGTGGGTTTCTGTTGACTAGGTGGAGTTGCATCTTTTTTGTGTGTGTCCAGGCAGTGAATTTTAATCCATAATAAAAAAAAATTACTTCTAGTCCATCACTGCTCCTTGCCAACCTAAATGCCATCTTTCCTCTCCCCCAGGCAAATGGCTGGGAGGAGTGATGGTCTTTGTGGTGTGTCGTAAGGTGAACAGATTCTCAGACTAACAGCAGTAATAATATAATACTTTACAAAGGAAGTCTGTATCATCCCCATTATATAGATTGTGAAACTGAGACACAGAGAAGTGACTTGCCAAAGGTCACCCATCAGGCTGGTTAACAAACATGCAGACAAGGGGGATCCAGTAGATATAGTATACTTAGATTTTCAGAAAGCCTTTGACAAGGTCCCTCACCAAAGGCTCTTATGTAAATTACATGGCCATGGGATAAGAGGGAAGGTCCTTTCTTGGATTGAGAACTGGTTAAAAGACAGGAAACAAAGGGTAGGAATAAATGGTAAAATTTCAGAATGGAGAGGGGTAACTAGTGGTGTACCCCAAGGGTCAGTCCTGAGACCAATTCTTTTCAATTTATTCATAAATGATCTGGAGAAAGGGGTAAGCAGTGAGGTGGTAAAGTTTGTGGATGATACAAAACTGTTTAGGATAGTCAAGACAGAAACAGACTGTGAGGGACTCCAAAAAGATCTCACCAAACTGAGTGATTGGGCAACAAAATGGCAAATGAAATTTAATGTGGATAAGTGTAAAGTAATGCACATTGGAAAAAATAACCCCAACTATACGTACAGTATGATGGGGGCTAATTTGGCTATGAGAAATCAGGAAAGAGATCTTGGAGTTATCGTGGACAGTTCTCTGAAAACTTCCACACAGTGTGCAGCAGCAGTCAGAAAGGCAAATAGGATGCTAGGAATTATTAGGAAAGGGATAGAAAATAAGACCCAGAATATCTTACTGCCCCTGTATAAAACTATGGTACGCCCACATCTTGAATACTGTGTACAGATGTGGTCTCCTCACCTCAAAAAAGATATTTTGGCCTTGGAAAGGGTTCAGAAAAGGGCAACTAAAATGATTAGGGGTTTGGAACGGGTCCCATATGAGGAGAGGTTAAAGCGACTGGGACTTTTCAGTTTAGAAAAGAGGAGACTGGGGAGGGGATATGATAGAGGTATATAAAATCATGAGTGGTGTGGAGAGGGCGAATAAAGATAAGTTATGTATTAGTACCCATAATAGAAGAACTAGAGGACACCAAATGAAATTAATGGGTAGCAGGTTTAAAACTAATAAAAGAAAGTTGTTCTTCACACAGCATGTAGTCAACCTGTGGAACTCCTTGCCAGAGGAGGCTGTGAAGGCTAGGACTATAACAGAGTTTAAAGAGAAGCTAGATAATTTCATGGAGGTTACGTCCATAAAAGGCTATTAGCCAGGGGATAGAATTGGTATCCCTGGCCTCTGTTTGTCAGAGGCTGGAGAGGGATGGCAGGAGACAAATCGCTTGATCATTGTCTTCGGTCCACCCTCTCTGGGGCACCTGGTGCTGGCCACTGTCGGCAGACAGGATACTGGGCTAAATGGACCTTTTGTCTGACCCAGTACGGCCATTCTTATGGTTGCTGAAATGGAAATAGAAGCCACATTTGCTGAGTCTGAGTCCAGGGTTCCATCCATTAGAGTACAGTAGAAAATTACAGAGTTTGAGGCCCTTCTTAGTGAGTGTTCTGCTACCAGTCTCCAAGGATCAAATTAATTCTTGATTATTTGCATGTAAATCAGGTGTATCTCCACTCAGGCCCAGATTTACACCACAGTAGCATCAGGATATGTCACAGATGTTTAAGTGAGGAACTCTTAGCTAATTAGCCTTGGCTAATCATAACTGCAGTGGAAGTACATAAAATGATACATTAAGTTTTCAGGAAACAATCCATGACATGATATATGGTGAGGAAATGGTGGATCTCTTCCCCTTTCGCCCAGATCCTGTCCCAGCTGTCTCTTTTTTGGCTGCAAAAGCTCATTAGTATTCTCGTCAGAGTAGATGCTTTTTCTCTCAATTTTTTTTTTTTTTTTAAATCACTATTTGCTAAATGTAGTCTGACATCCTACTTATTTTTTGTTTGTAGCTTTTAAGTTTTATGCATAAATCATTGCAGCATACCACATGTCTTAATTGTCTGTTTCTTCTACATGTTAGAGATGAACACAGTGACATCTTAGCTGTAGCAGACTGGGGTCAAAGGCTTTCCTTTTTTCAGCTCAGTGGCAAACAGGTAAGTTGAAGTTAGTTCAGTGCTTTGGAAGATGCATTTACCCTCAGGAGTAGCTGAATATTTTTGATCGTACACAAGTCACATTGAATATATATAAAATAAAGCTGTTTATTAGAGTATTTACTCTAAGCTTTTTATTTGTCTGATTTTGATCATCCTCTTTTCTAGCTCTAGTATCTCTCAACCCAATAGAGCCAATTTCTGACACTTCTTGTAGCTTTGTAGACTTTTGTGACATTTTCTTGGCCCAGCTCCTAAGCTGCAACTGTCCAGTCTCTGGCACAGTTCGAGAGGGAAACTCATTGGTATTGTTTAAATCACCCTGATTCTAAGATGACATTTACTGGGCTAGGCTGGTTCTCAGATGCAACTTGAGTCTGTTTGTTGTTGCCAAGCATTGGAAAGTATTTTTGCCACTAGTTAAAGGGATGGTGGTAACATAGGGTGGCCAACTGTCTAACTCCCCATACACAGGCACCCTTGCCCCATACTCTACCTTGCTTCTTCTGTGAGGCCCCACCCCACACTCACTCTGTCCCCCCTTCCTTTGTTGCTCACTCTCCCCCCTCATTCATTTTCACTGAGTAGGGGCATTGGGTTGGTATGTAGGAAGGGATGTGAGCTCTGTGTTGATGGGTGGGGCCGAGGTGTTCAGAGTGTGGGAGGGAACTCTGGGCTGAGCCTGGGGCAAAGAGGTTGTGGTGTAGGAGGAGGTGTGAGCTCTGGGAGGGAGTTTGGGTGCAGGAGGTGGTATGGGCTCTGGGCTCTGGTCAGACAGCACTTACCTCAGGAGGACTCCTGGAAGCAACTGGTATATCTGGCTCCTAGGCACAGAGGCAGCTAGAAAGCTCCTATTGACTGTGGTTCCTGGCCAATGGGAACTGTTGAGTTGGCACTCTGGGAAGGGGCCTAGGAGCCAGAGAGACATGCAGGTTGTTTTTGAGAGCCACACAGAGCCAATGTAAGTACAGAGCTTGCCTAAGCCCTACTGTGCCACTGACCAGACTTTTAGCATTTTATTACAATCTCTCAGATTGGTTTCAGTAGCCACCAGAAGATAGTTTTCTATTTTGGGAGACTCCCTGCCAATGCTTTAGGGTTGGCAACTGTATGGTGGCATAAGAGCTTGCATGATAATACTTTGCCACCTGAGAATCCCTGTACACTGGTGATACCCTCTTTCTTGTTTCAAGCAACTTTTCATGTCTTAAAAAACATGAAATTATACTTTTCTTTGATCTCTTTTGTTTTGTCTTGTAGATTGGGAAGGATAGGGTGCTGAATTTTGACCCTTGCTGTGTTAGCTATTTTTCCAAAGGAGAATATATATTAATGGGAGGCTCAGATAAGCAAGTCTCTCTCTACACAAAGGATGGAGTACGTCTTGGTACCATAGGGGATCAGAACAGTTGGGTGTGGACATGTAACGTTAAACCAGACTCCAATTATGTGGTAAGAAGTGACATTTTTATCGCCTTTCTCTTATGGCAGCTGTAGCTATGTGTAGTAGGGCACAGATTTCAAGCTTGGGTACCTATATTTATGTGCCCAAATCTTTACTGAGGCAGTTAAATAAAAGTAGTGTAATTTTAGGTGTTGCCGAGTAAGCACGTTCAACTCCAACTGAAGTTAAAAATAGTCATGGAGAAATGTATCCTTGGCTACATGAAGGTGATAAATGGTATAAAACTTATTGGCCTACACAAGTAGCAGAGAAATAGCCGTGTCAGTCTGATCTTGGTAAAACAGAAAAATCTTGTCGTGTAGCACTTTAAAGATTAACACGATGTTTATTAGGTGATGAGCTTTCATGTGGCAGACCCACTTCTTCAGATGATCTAAAGAAGTGGGTCTGCCCCATGAAAGCTCATCATCTAATAAACCATCTTGTTAGTCTTTAAAGTGCTACACTCAGAAGATCAGAAAGACATCTCCAGTTGTTCTGTTGAGCAACTGCCTACATAAGACAGGGTATGTCTACACTACCCCACTAGTTCGAACTAGCGGGGTAATGTAGGCATACCGCACTTGCAAATGAAGCCCGGGATTTGAATGTCCCGGGCTTCATTTGCATAAGCGGGGAGCCGCCATTTTTAAAACCCCGCTGGTTCGAACCCCGTGCAGCGCGGGTACACGGGGCACGAACTAGGTAGTTCGAACTAGGCTTCCTAGTTTGAACTACCGTTACTCCTCGTGAAATGAAATGTGTAGACATACTCACATTTACTACATTTTATTTTAAAAATGGTCATTGGTTTATTTAAAAATGTTGATGATAGAGATGCAGTAGGATTACTGCAGAAGTTTGTGCACTAGAATGACTGGAAGTAGATGTAGGCTGTCTCTGTTTTGGAATATCTGTTGATGAGCCTTGTGGAGAATGTGTGTATTAATACTTGGGGGCAGTATATCCTTAATCTGTCAGTGGTAGAAATCACTAGGCCTGTTGAAATCACTAGGCCAAGAGTGGTGATAAAAAGAGTAACAGTGATCATGATTATATAGTATTCTGGGCCATTAAAGTAGATGGGAGTTTTGCCGTTTAATACAATGTGAGCAGGATCAGGACTAAGGTTGATATGCTGTTTTGGTAAATGTAACATAAGGTATTTAGTAATCATTTAAATGTCATGCATTTTTATGGGTTTTTCTTAGTAGTTGCTTATAGGTTTGCATTAGTTGATACATATAGGTGATTATGTGAGGCTTTTTATATCTTTCTCCTTATGTTCAGGCAATAGGATGCCAGGATGGAACAATTTCCTTTTATCAGCTGATTTTCAGTACAGTCCACGGACTCTATAAAGATCGTTATGCTTACAGGGACAGCATGACTGATGTTATTGTCCAGCACCTAATTACTGAGCAAAAAGGTAGTTTCACACATACTTTTAATCCTTAGCTTCACTTTCCTAATTATTTTTTATTAATAGTTGTTAGCATGTTCAAATGTGTGGTTTCTGTCCCGTGAAGTTTTCTTTGATAAACACTGACGGTATTATTGAAACACACAGCTCATGGGATGAAAATGCGAACTCGAAGTGGAGCAAATGTCTCTGGAGGATCAGCGCTGAAGGACTTAATGAGGAAGTGGGGATTTGAGAGATCATTAGGAGAGGAAAGAGCTATTAAGAGAGAGTCTGTCTCTGCAGTTGTGAGATTCTGTATAGTCCATTATATTTGTCAAGGTTGCTCTTATTAATAGCATCAAATACTTGTGCTGATATTTTCTAAGCACATTTAAAAAGAAAATTCTCACCCCATTTTATGACACGAAAGAGACATTGAAACATGCATTGTTGTACCTCCTTCACAAGAAATGACTATTAATAACTTGTGACCTCCTGCTAACCAGTAGCACGAATGCATACCTTATACAGGCAGTCCCCGGGTTACGTACAAGATAGGGACTATAGGTTTGTTCTTAAGTTGAATCTGTATGTAAGTCGGAACTGGCGTCCAGATTCAGCCACTGCTGAAACTGACCAGCGGCTGACTACAGGAAGCCCGAGGCAGAGGCGGAAGTCGGATCCGCGTAACTCGGGGACTGCCTGTACTTCATGTGGAGCCACAGACTTTCTTCTAGTAGGTTTGACTGATGTAGAAGTATTTTGTAAGGATTAAATTGTAATCAGGCTGGACATGGTATTAAATTGTTTCAGTTTGGCCCTACACATTACTACACTTTCTTATGTTCTTTCTTTTCAGTTAGAATAAAATGCAGAGAACTTGTAAAGAAAATTGCAATCTACAAAAATAGATTAGCAATCCAGCTTCCAGAAAAAATCCTGATTTATGAATTATATTCAGATGATTCCTCAGACATGCATTACCGTGTGAAGGAAAAGATAGCAAAGAAATTTGAATGCAATTTATTAGTTGTATGTTCAGATCACATTATCTTATGCCAGGTATGTACTTGAAAAATTAAACATAACTTTGATAAGAAAAGGGTTTAAAAGGGCTGGCAAAATAAGATTAGCATACTGAAAATACTGTAATGGATTAGGCAATTAAAATACAGCCACCTGAAAAAATATTCTAGTGGTCTGTTTATAATGTGCTATGGGATCTTTTGGGATAACAGGTGGTAGAAAAAGGGGATTTGATATTTTCTACTTGCTATCATGAATCTTTAAAAATATATTTTGTCTGCTAGAGTGATCTGACATGTATTTGGCAGTCTCTTGTATGTGCCTATTGAGGCAGGCATATCTGGATAGATGTGAATACACTTGAAAGTGGAATGAATTCCTGTTTACCAATGTGTATTATATTGTACATCACAGGTTTTTTTTTTTTTGTTTGTTTTTGTTTTAGGAGAAAAGACTACAATGCCTCTCATTTAGTGGTGTTAAAGAACGGGAGTGGCTGATGGAGTCTCTCATTCGTTACATTAAAGTAATTGGTGGCCCTTCTGGAAGAGAAGGCCTCTTAGTCGGTCTGAAGAATGGCCAGGTAATGCTTTGATTGATTTTTACCTTATTTATTTAAAAAAAAAAAGTACAAAGCAAAATCTATTTTACTGTGTTGAAGAGAACAGAAATACATAAAGCTGACCCCAGAAGTAGAAAAGACTTATAACCTGAAGTCTATGGACCCAAGCTAAGTTCAATCCTGAATCAGAAGACCCATTCATTTATATTTGTTGTCTGTGGGCTCACGTTCTTCCATTTTAGCTGCTCGTTTGTAGGTTACCCACAGAAGACAAAATTATTCCTCATTGCTTATGCTTCATAGATGGACCTCCAAAAAAGTGAATATACTGAAAAGGGTTCTCTACAGTTTACTGACAAATCCACAGTTGACTGCCCCAATAAGAAATGGACCTTTTGGAATTTGTTTTATAGCATATGATGAACAGGTGATTCACAGCATTCCAGTTTTTGTACAGGGGAGGAAGCCAGGATGGAGTGCTAGTTAAGTAATTTGTGGTGCTCCGAAAGTGTTGGTGGGTAAGGGAAGGAGTAGAAGGTGTGGGGCTCCAGTACACCAATGTGTGAGAGGCTCACTGTTCTTGGTTGCTCATCACTGCTGTAGGATATCATACAATTCAAGTGACAGCAGAGGCTAACTGTTTCTTTGTAGTTCTGGAGTTACATAGAGCTTACAGATTACAAAAGCAGTGAAAGTAAAGTGTTTAGGTTGTTGCCATAAGTGGTCTTTGTAGTATTTATATACAATGATGCTAAGCATAAATAAATGTGTTAATGTAATTGTTCAACAAGTATAAATTGAATCTCCCTGATTCAGCACCCTCAGGACTGGTCACCAGGGAATCTGCTGAATTAGGGTATGTCAGTGCTTGCCTCTCTGTTCCCGCCTTCCCCTGGGGTCCAGTGTTTCAGCTGCTAGGGCACTGCCCTCCGGGGACTCCACTGCTCTGGCTCACCTGGAGCTCCACAGCTCTAGCCCACGGGCCTAGTGCGTGCAGGGACTCTGCTCCTCTGCTCTGTGGCTCCATTCTTCCCTAGTCCAGCCATGCTTCTGGCCCCAGCCCACAGTTTTCCCCTGTGAGTGCCCCAGCCCCAGCCCTCCCATGAGGCTGCTGACGATGTTGGACCAGAGGTGTTGCCATATGAGGGAATTCCAAAATAGAGAGTGCCAACATGTAAATTGATACCAAATCTATGCTGTCTCAATTGTTTTGTTTATATTAGCTTGCAAGAAACAAGTGTATAAGTCTTCAAAATATTCTCAAACTGCTTTAGTTTTTACACATTTTTAATATTCTTCATAGTATGTATTCACAGTCCTATTTTCAACCTCAGAGTTAATATCCACTATTCTATTGCTAATTTTAGTAGCTGCAACTTTGACTGACTAACTTTAATTTCAAATATGTCCAGATTCTGAAGATATTTGTGGACAATCTTTTTGCAATTGTCCTGTTGAAGCAATCCACAGCTGTGCGCTGTCTCGATATGAGTGCATCCCGAAATAAGCTGGCAGTGGTAGATGAAAATGATACTTGCCTAGTATATGATATTCATACCAAAGAGCTGCTTTTCCAGGTAAGAAATTAAAATCTTTAAGTCCTAGGGACTCAGAATGTGGTTTTTGTTTCTTACATTCAGGAAACATCCATAATTATTACACAAATAAAAATCAACTGTGGAATTTTGTAGATTCTAATATGTTATGCTCTATTTAGAGAGTGTTGTTTAAGGTAAGGAAGGAAGTAGGAGCCAGAAGATTTGTGTTCTTTACAAACCTCATTCATGCACTTGCTGTGTCATCCTTAGCAAGTCACTTGGGGCCATGTAATATTTCTTTTGAATTATTGAAGTCAGTAGGAATTTTACTGTTGATTTCAGTGGGAGCAGGATTAGACTCTAAGCCACTTCTGTGCCTCACTTTCTCTCAATATAAAAGGGGATAATAATACTTCTCTGATATGGAGTTTAGCATAGTCCCTCTGTGAGACTTAATCCATTAATATTAGTAAGGTATTTTGAGGTACGTCCTCTGATAGAAAGTGTGAAGTATTAAAATAGGACCCCTAGGATTCTTTTAATGCCAGAAAGTAAAACTAGAGATTAAATTATTCTTCTTCGAGTGGTTGCTCATGTCCATTCGAAGTAGGTGTGCACACCGTGTGCACCGCGTCTTCCGGAGCGTTTTCCCTAGCGGTACCTGTAGCGCCGGCAGGGCGCCCCCTGGAGTGGCGCCGCCATGGTGGGGCATAAGTACCCCTGCCGGCGCTGCCCCACCTCTGTTCCTTCTTACCGCAGTGACGGTCATTGGAGCGTCTCTATCTCTCTTAGTCTATTAGCTAGTTAATGGTTCCCGTTCTCACATTGGTTTGTAAATAGTTCTTGCAGTTAGATAGTTAGGTTCTTTGTTTTGTTCCTTCCCCCTTGGGGGTAAGGAATGCCAGGGCCGCAAGGCTTCAAGACGTGCGCTGACTGTGGGAAGTTTATGCCCAGGGGCGACCCACTCGACAGTTGCCTTAAGTGTTTGGGTGAGGCTCATCTGGCAATTGCCTGTAAGATCTGTAAATCCTTTAAGCCCCGTATGAGAAAAGAAAGGGTTTCCCGCCTGAAGCTTCTCCTCATGGAGACAGCGCTTCAACTGGTGCCGCCGGAGCAACCTGCGGTGCACAGCGCACCGGCTTCCACGCGGGAGGCTCCTCACCGGCACCGTGCGTCGGTGTCGAGGTCTCGGCACCGGTCTCACTCTCCTCCGTCCAAGAGGGTGAAGAAGTTACGCGGAAGGTCCCCTTCAAAGAAGTCAACTTCGATTGGGCTCCGCGGCGCGGACTCACCGGTGCACGTATCTCTTCCGGCGCACCGTCGGCGCAGAGGAGGCCTCGATAGTCCTGGTCGCCTGCCTTCACACCGCCTGTCCACGCCGGACACATTTTTGAAGCGGCGCAGGACCTTATTAGCCTCACGACCTCCCCTCCATCGTCGGTTGACTCGGAAGGATCGAGGTCACCCTCGTCGGAGGCTCAGCTGGCTACGACTTCGCCCCCGCATGGCCCAGGTCGGCATGCTAAGGTGGCTTATGCGTCGGGACCACCCCATGTGGGGTCAGTACCAATCGCTACTACGGCACCCATCTCAACACCGTGTCGTCAGTCTCAGGTAGCTTCGAGCCGTGCTCGAACTTCGCTGCAGCTGAGCTCCTTGCCAGCTCCCCGCCTGGCGGTACCGGTGCCGTATCTCCGTAGCCGTGTGGCGTCCACTCAGGCACCTCTCTCCTCCATGGCGGACACCCAAGAGCCGGCATCCGTCTCCGTGCCTTTATCTGCACCGGCATCAACGCAGTGGTCTCTTCCGGCACCGGGCCTCAGTACCCCGGTGCCGCATCTGCCAGTCACAACTCAACCGGCACCGGGCCTGGCACCCCAGTGCCGCAGCCAATGGCGGCAACTCAACCGGCACCGAGCCTGAGCACCTCGGTGCCACAACTGCTGGCGTCCCAACTGGCACCGGGCCTCGGCACCCTGGTGCCACAACTACTGGCGTCTCAACCAGCATCGGGCTTAGGCACCCCAGGGCCACAACTGCTGGCGACTCAACCAGCTCCGGGCCAGAGCACACCAGTGCCACAACAGCTAGCGACGCAACCAGCACCGGGCCTGAGCACCCCGGTGCCGCAGCTGGCTGCTTCGCATCCGGTACCGCAACTGGGTGCTGCAGAATTCTCGGTACCGGGGCTGGGTCCCCTGGTGCCGCAACCGTCAACGAGCCTTCTGGCACCGGGCATGGGTCCCCCCGTGCCGCAGATTGCCCGGCCCCACCGTACTCATGTGGGCAAGCCTGAATCCATGACCAAGTTTGCCCTGCATTCCTCCTTGGCTCCAGCCTGCCGGAGTCCGATTACTTGTCGGACTCAGATGCCGTTTTCATCCGATCGGGGTCCTCGGGAGCATCCTCGGCCCACAGGTCTATGTCCAGGCACCGGAGGGACCACAGTCAGCAAACGTGGCCTCTGCACCCGCAGTGGCCTTTTTGGACCCTCTGGGTCTACCATCAGTGGCAAGGTCAGCTGCCCCCCTGTCTGGGGTCGGAGGCTTCAGGGCACTGTTCCCAACCGTCGGCGTGCCTGTCCCGGGCCCCTCCCTCCCATCTTCGGGCGCCGCAACCGGATCCAGCGGCACCGCAGTCACCGGCACCAGAGGCAGACCCATCGGGGGCACAAGTTGCTCAACCGGCACCACAGTTGGTGACAACCGCTCCTGTGCCAATTCAGGAGTCGTCGTCGTCTCTGGACGAGGCACTAGCAGACCCGGCACCAAGTCTGCCTTCAATAGATGCCCGCACGCACCAGGATCTGCTCCGGCACATGGCTTCCAACCTGGCCGTTCCGGTGGAACCTGACATTGAGGACACGGATCCAATGGTGGACATCCTTATGGAGGACACGCCTACGCGGTTGGCCTTACTGCTCAACAAAACGGTGTCAAAAATTACTAATGCCCTGTGCAACCTTGACCCCTACCTTAAAAGGGGTCGAGAGGCGTTATTACGTCCTGCACTCGGGGCATGAATACCTGTATTCACAGCCCATCCCGGGGTCCTTGGTCGTGCAGGCCGCGGCCCAAAAGGAAAGACTCCCTCAGCCCGGTCCCTCTCCAAAGGCGAGAGAGCCTAAGCGGCTGGATCTGTTGGGGCGTAAGGTTTACACCACAGGGGCACTACAACTCCGCATCGCTAACCAGCAGGCAATGCTAAGTAGGTATGCTTTTAATACCTGGCAGGCCGTCGAAAAGTTCAGAGACAGACTCCCGGCGGAGGACCGTCAGGAGTTCGCGGCCATTGCCTCGGAGGGTAAAGTCATTGCGCGAACCACTCCCCAGGCGTCTCTGGACACTGTGGATTCAGCAGCCCACACTATGGCGACTGGTGTCGTTATGCGTCGGGGGGCATGGCTCCACGTCTCGGGAATTCCCCCGGATGTGCAGCATACGATACAGGACTTGCCTTTTGAAGGCAAAACTCTGTTCTTGGAGCACACCGACTCTAGGCTCCATACCCTAAAGGACACAAGGTCCACCTTAAAGTCCTTGGGCATCCACACACCGGCTCTGCAGCGGCGGGCGCGTCGCCCATAACGACCGGGGC